CCCCCCCCCAAACCCTAAATTCTCTCCCTCTCTCTTTCTCTCTCCTCCGATCATGGCGGAGGACAAGGTAAACTTACTTTTATACCCTTCGACCCCTCTAGGGCTCGGTCTCTCGATTCTTTTCTAGGGTTCTCTGAGCCGGATCTCGTCAGATTTGAAGTTTAGATTGTAGATCTGTGCGATTCGGCGCTTGGTTGTTTGATCTTTCTGGGATTTTCACTTCTCAGCTCGGTTTTTGTTTTGGGGGAAAAGATCCGTTCCTTGTTCTGATTTAGGGGTTCCTTTTCTTGTTGGATCTGCAACATCTGAGCTAAAAAAAAGGCTTTCTTTGTTTAGGAGCTTGTTCCTTTTCTTTCCCTTAGAAGCTTCTACGAGTTTAAGAGCAAAGATTTGTTCCTTATGCAGATTTGTAAATACCAACTCTTTTCACTTTTATTTTTGCAGGAGCAGACTATGACGGAGTCTAATGATCCGGTAACTGGACACATCATCTCCACCACCATTGGAGGCAAAAATGGTGAACCTAAGAGAGTAAGTGACTCCAAAGATTGAAGCTTTATGTGAAATCGATAATGTAGTATTTCATGGGCGTCTCTGTTTACAATTGCAGACGATTAGCTATATGGCCGAGCGAATTGTAGGAACTGGGTCATTTGGAATTGTCTTCCAGGTACCAAACCAATTCCATTTATTGGCATTTTTCAAACTACGGTGCCACTATTTTTTTTGCTTAATAATTTTGGGGGGAAAATCCATATAGGCCAAATGCCTGGAGACGGGGGAGACTGTGGCTATAAAGAAGGTGTTACAGGATAAGAGATACAAGAACAGAGAGTTGCAGTTGATGCGCTCGATGGATCATCCAAATGTTGTTTCTTTGAAGCACTGTTTTTTCTCGACCACCAGTAGAGATGAGCTTTTCCTCAACCTGGTAATGGAGTATGTGCCTGAATCCTTGTACCGGGTACTCAAGCATTATAGCAGTATTAACCAGAGGATGCCACTTATATTTGTTAAGCTCTACACTTATCAGGTATCCATTTTACTTTTCTTATGTTGTGTTGATTGTGGTTTTGTGTTGTGAAGTGCTTAATTTGTTTGATAAGTTCTGCAGATTTTTAGAGGGTTGGCTTATATTCATAACGTTCCAGGAGTTTGTCATAGAGATGTGAAGCCACAAAATGTTTTGGTATGCTTTTGAAGCTTCTTATCTGATTAACCTGCATTATGAAATGTGTATTTCTTTTGTTTGTAACCTTCTTTTGTTAATTGGTTATTCTGTAGGTCGACCCTCTTACTCACCAAGTGAAGATTTGTGATTTTGGGAGTGCTAAAATTCTGGTATGTTGTAAGCCCACAATTATAACAGTACATCGCTGATAAACTTCTTCTATTTGGATGTTAGCAAAAAATGTATTTATATTGTGACAGTTTGCATGGTATAGTGTATGAAAGTTTGTGCTTGGGTTAGCTAAACAATGATGTTTGTAAGGTTGTCATTTTTCTTAATGTTGAATTTTACTCTTTGCTTATTGACATGATTGGATTGGATTTAGTTGGTGTGATGGGTTTCACAAACATTAATAATTTAATATTCATAGTTTATGTATTATTAAAAAAGTGAACTTATATGAGCTGCAAATTAGATAAGCTGAGCAGCGTAATGGCTTATTCCTGTGAAGAAACGAACCAACAATATGCATATTGACCTAAATCAGTGATGCGGATCAAGTTATTGTCTTGATATTCAGCTCAATGAGTGCATATTGACCTAAATCAGTGATGCGGATCAAGTTATTGTCTTGATATTCAGCTCAATGAGTCTTCTGTCTTTAAGCACTACTTTTGAGTTTCAAGTTATTGTCTTGATATTCAGCTCAATGAGTCTTCTGTCTTTAAGCACTACTTTTGAGTTGAAGGCATGAAGCAATATCACCTTGTATGTTTGGATACATCATGATGTGCTTTTCAAGACATCAAATTAAGGCTTTACTGAGCACAGTGGCACACATGAGTTTGCTTAGAAAGACTGGCAGATAATGGACATAGTTTGGGGATAATGTTGAAAATGGATGAGAGATTCCCAATTTACAGTCATTAACAGTTTTTGGGATTAGTAGGTAAATATTCATTCTCAAAGTCATCAGATGAAAAAGAAGTATGAAGTTGGCATCTTTCTGGAATAAGATGCTAACCTTTTATCGAAAGGTGGAGGCGGCTTTTGCAATTTCTGATATAATATGTAATGAGGAGTGTAGGGATTTTGCTGAGTATTGCTTAGTCAGATGCCTTGTCTTGCTCTTGGCATATAGTGAAGAAGATAATTCGGATTTTACAGAGAGTTGCAGGCATAAGGACACAGTCATAACCATCAATATGGCTTTTAGATATCTGTTTTGTGAATTAAGCATAGTTTAGGCTTTGTGTTGGCTCAATCATCTTTGAAATATTATCCTATTCCTATCTGTGTCAACTAGGTCTGAGTGCCTATGATTCTATGTGTTTTTGAAATGATATAATGTGGATTAATGTGAATGAACCTTGAAGAAGGAAACAGATGAAAAAGAGGTCAGCAAAAAATATCAGAAAACTAGATATTTCAGTTTGTTTGATTGATGAATAGGCATCCATTGCTAGCTTCACCAGATATTGTTATGTTTCTTTGTATTTTTTGAAGATATTTCTATTTTTGCTGGTATCATCTTTTTATAATTTCTTTTTTATTGGATCGTTTCTTGGACAGTTTTGAGTTTGCATATTTCTAGAGATTCATCTTTATTTCTTTTGTCACGATTTCATTTTGAAAGAGTTGTATTATATTATCAGGTTAAGGGCGAAGCAAACATTTCTTACATTTGTTCGCGCTATTATCGTGCTCCTGAACTCATATTTGGCGCAACTGAATACACTACTTCAATTGACATATGGTCAGCAGGTTGTGTCCTTGCAGAGTTACTCCTTGGCCAGGTCTGTCATCTTTCTAATGTTCCTGCAAATGTCATTTGTACAATACTTACAAGAACCTAAGAGCCTAGAACATTTGATTTGAACTATTTAAATACAGAGATTTTTAACTCTTCTTTTATATTCCAGCCACTATTTCCTGGAGAAAGTGCTGTTGATCAGCTTGTTGAGATAATCAAGGTACAGTTTGAAGTCCCAGCATCATGATTGGAGGATCTTTAGGTTTAACTAAATATGACAATGTGGTCATTTCTTGTAGGTTCTTGGTACTCCAACTCGTGAGGAAATTCGATGCATGAATCCTAACTACACAGATTTTAGGTTTCCACAGATTAAAGCTCATCCATGGCATAAGGTTAGGACTTCATAGATCTTGACCATTTATGATCGGCGTTGTTATTTTCTGGGCTCATCCATGGCATAAGGTTAGGACTTCATAGATCTTGACCATTTATGATCGGCGTTGTTATTTTCTGGTTTTGAAAGAAAACTACTTCATAGATCTTGACCATTTATGATCGGCGTTGTTATTTTCTGGTTTTGAAAGAAAACTACTGTGCCAAGTAATTCACTTTCACTTTTCACTTACAACATCTGCTTGCTTTTACTCACCGTTAAAGAACATTGATGATTGGCCATTATGATAATGCAATTGCAATATTACTGATCATTAGCTTCTTTAGCTACTGCCGACTGGTGTACTTGTTTTAATCTCGTTTCCGATATTATTCATCAGTTATTTCTGCTGTAGTAAGATCTTTATAATATTTTGTTGCAATCAGATATTTCACACGAGAATGCCACCAGAGGCAATAGATCTTACATCACGACTTCTCCAGTACTCGCCCAGTTTTCGTTGCACTGCAGTAAGTTTTAACATGTGTCTTTAATCTTATCAAAATAGTTTTTCTGTCTGTGCATATGTATTTCTACTCTAAAATGCAAATTCTAGTTGTGTTATTTTGTGCTTGTTTTTTGTAAAGTGGTTTCATTTTGGTGGATATGCTTTTATGCTTAGATGTTGTTTCTCTTATATGTCAATTTGGACCTTTCCTTGCAGCTAGAAGCATGTGCACATCCCTTCTTCGATGAACTTCGTTTGCCAAATGCACGATTGCCAAATGGCCGGCCATTGCCGCCTCTCTTTAATTTCAAGCAAGAGGTAGGTATCTGATTCTTTGAGATGCTTGTTCATAGGCATTTTTGTTGTCGCATCAATTAGATAGATCAATATATTAATATTAAATCACTATTATTGTATTTTGTGAATCTTATGATGAGAGAATATTTTAGTATGTTGATACTTAGTGCACATTTTATCATATATGCTACTTATAAAAATATAAAACACCTATATGGCCGTAATCTTAATTTTTTTCTTGTGGGTACACAAATTTGATCGTAACCTCTATTGAATGGTTTGATTCTTCTTTGGTAATAATTTTCATGTTAGGGAGTGTTAAGCTGTTTTACTATTTGTTCAGAATGGACCCTCAGGAAAAAATGATGCCATATAGTAACTCTTGATCTTTATATCTGTAAAGGGTTTCATTACTGAATTGGCTTCGGGTTCAAATGGTAGGGTTGGTACTTAGGTACAAATTTTCGTTTGATTATTTTCTTTGTGTACTTTTCTCGTCCAACCTTCAATTCATCTTGAATGTACATGGAGTCGTATGGGAAATTGATAATGGATGGAAAGAGCTTGCTAACAAGCTGATCCCAGAACATGCGAGGCGTCAATTTGGTCTCAATTTCTTCCATCCAGCGGGCACATAAAACCTTCTCCATGAATCGAAGGTAAAAAAAAAGCAAGGGAAGCCTTAAACGTTTTTCATGTTTTTCTGTCAAAAGTTTACCCGTTGAGGCTGCTGCTGCACTGGGAAAGCTTAGTTCAGCAGAGGCTGCTAGTTTGAGGCATCGCGATTATGCTATGAAGCCATCAATAGTTAAGTCACTGTATATTGTATAATAATTGTAGGATACTTGTGGTGAAGGTGGGAATGGAGTGTGATTCTGGATGTTCAGTAAAGCGCTAAGGAGATCTGTGGCATTTAAGGGGTACGGGTTCCTTAGCAGTTGTGTTTCGGTTGTGTTCAGCTGCAGACAGTGGAAGTATCTTCTGCCAGTTCCCTTCTTCTTCATCTTTTGTATTATTATTCAGTTCTATCCTGTGCTTTGTCTACAAATTACATTTCTGGTCCATGGTTTTAACAAGGTCTACAGCTTCGAAAATGAAGGTAGGGAAAATAATAACAATAATGGTGCGTTATTTTGGCAACGGCTCATATGCCTAAGGAGAGACTTGAGTTACAAGCCCTCGCGCGGTAAGGAGTACTTGGAACCTTTTTACTAGCAATCCTTTGAGAACTGGGGTTCACCTTAAATCCATTACAATTTCATGAAATCCAGGAGAACGTTCGAATTCGGAAGTGAGATAATGAGGCACGGTCAGAAATACGTCTTCAAAGGGGAAATTAGCGTAAATATGCAAAGATACTCGGACAATAAACATTTAAGCATTACTCGTTCGTTTGCCTCATCCCCACATCACAAGCCGGAGTTTAATTAAGGAACGCAACATGAAATGTCATTCTCACCGCCGCATCACAAGTTTGAGTTTAAACAAGGAACGTAAAATAAAAGACTTGCTGCTGTAAAGAGAAACATGCTCAAACTTTCAGATTTACTCGGTACAGCGATTAAGAAGGTCAATACTTACAAACTCGATTGGGAAGTACATATCAACAACACAAGCGGGAAAACACATCGAGAATTACTGTGTCGATATTAGTTATATCTTTCCACGTGGACCAAGCTTCGGTGGGAGCTGAGGCCCTTTCTTGATGGGCAGTATGTCGCCTGAGGCTGTGGAGCTGAGATACGCGAGCAAGGAGCCTCCTCCGAGTATCAAGAACTTGAGCAGCAAACCCCTCTTGGTGAAAGGAGCTGCAAACGTCTCAAAGAATTTGCTCTGTATTGGTCCGGATAGGACTTACAGATATCAGGTACCGTAAGAAATTATGCGAATGTGTAACTAAACCGTAATTTGCCTAGTGTTGTGTTATATCAAACAGGATGAATGTTAAGACACTCAAATAAATCAATTCACGACCATTTCATACCAAAAGATTTTCAAGACACAAATAACAGTAAACAGCGCCAAACAAAAATAGTACCACACCAGAACCTATTCAACCCAAATGCAGCGCTTTCATATTTTGTTTGTGCAAATGCAGGGCGCATGAGCAATGCTAAAAACCCTCAAATTTATCTATCTGATACCAATGTTCTGCGTTAAAGTACACGTCTTCAGACTGTTGGATAACAGTGAAAATTGAGCAATATTAGTGCTTATTCCTAGCATTTACGTATTAGAGCATCCCCAACCCAACTCCAAAAGCCCATTTTGACGCAAATCCAGCGCCAATTCTTCCTCCAACCCAACGGCAAACTTAGCGTCATTTTAAGGGGGTGCTATAGTACATATGGAGATTTTGTTTTTTCCCAAGTTTACCATTATAGTTTGTTATAACAAATCAAATATTCTAACCAAATCCTATTTTATAGTTTGTAAATAGAAGAAATATTCTTTTTGATGTAAAATTTGGTGTAATGGTTAATGATGGAATAGTGATTTGGTGTAAAAACTACACCATTTTGAGTTTGTGGGTTGGAGATGTTCTTAGGCACCAGAGATCACGTGCTTCGAAGCTTTGTATACGCCGGTTTGCTTGTATGTTTCAGAAATCTACTTAAATTCAACATATTATGTCCACCGTTAACCAGTCCCGAAAGTGAAATTACCTGAAGGGGGTTGTAAGGAGAAGGCGCATCGGAGCCATACAGATCCCACTGGCCAGTCGTGTTGCCGATGTCCTCGAGATCAAAGTACACGCTCTTGTCTCCGTACTTGGCCACCACGGAATCAGTAGATCTTTATAAATAAATAAAAAAAGATCATTAATTCACGATTATCAAATTAATCACCATTTTGTTCGAAGAGAGAGAGAGAGAGAGAGAGCTATACCTTCTGCTGGAGCGTGTAGAAACTCTGCCGGGGGGACGAACGGAGAGCTTAGCGCCGTGCAGAGAGCTGGCGCCGAGGCCCTTGATGGTCGCTGGTTGCGCAACAGCCATTGCGGTTAGAGAGGCCATGGAGGCTTTGGTTAGTTACTTCGGTGCCTCTGCTTTTCTCTCGCTGTCGCTTCTCCTTCTTCTGTAAATTTGATTCTCTCTCTCTCTCTCTTTCTTCTGGTTGGATGCCTAGCGATCTCGATGGATTTTGAAGGGATATGCTAGCGAATGGGGGGCCGACGCGTGGCGGTTCGGTGTTTTTTGGTGCGGAGCGAACGGTGACGGCCATTGGTTAGTGTTTGATAACCTTATCCTTGGTTTTCATAATGATTAAGCCATTAAGGGGAGTGTTTAGGAGCAATGCTGTGAGTTAATATGCCATTGCTAAGATCACCGTCTGTCGTTATCAGCTTCAAAATTAATGCCAAGAGAAGAGGAGAGATCACTTAAACGTAAGAGTGGTGATAGGGGCACACCTCAAACCATACCACCAACCACACTCTCCTCTCTCATTTGCTACAGTACACGGGGCCCCACATGGGATTTTAAAATTTTAAATCCCATGTGGGGCCCCGTGTACTGTAGCAAATGAGAGAGGAGAGTGTGGTTGGTGGTGTGGTTTGGGGTGTGCCCCTAGCATTTCTTTAAACGTAATTGCTATGTTCTCCTGGCTCTCCACTGTTCTGTTACAGAGGATACAAATAGGGTTCGATGGATATGAGATGGCGGCTCATTTAGCAAAATGCGCTACCAAGAGATAGAGTAGCAGTAGCTGTATCTTGTAATATTGACTAGTAGAGAGGGCCTCGCTACTAGCTTATCTCTTGGTAACTTAGTTTGCTAAAGAAGCTTACGCCTCGTGCACATTATTTCTATTATATAATGCAATATATGACAATTCTTGCAAAGTCTATCACAAATAGGGGTGGTAAATGATCGAATCGAACCGAATACTAAGGTGTTCATGTTTGTATTTGTTTAAAATTATCGAATTCGAATGTGGACTCTAATATTCATATATCTAGTTTTTCGAATTCGAACTCAAATACTTGGTATTTGATAAATATTCATGAATATTCACGAATACTTATTGAATATCAAAGTATATTTATTTTGCTAAAGAGTTTGATTTTCAAATAGTATTAAAATTCATAAATAAAAATTATTTTTTATAATATATGATGTATGTATATTTAAATCAAAATTTTAATTAGAAAACAGATTTAAGATTATTTAAGTCTTAAAAGCAATATATAAAACTTAAGTAGAAATGGTAAGTGGGTTAAAAATATGACAATCATATGTGTAATAATACAAATAATAATTTGTGATCAAATTTTAAACGAATATTTAATAGACAAACGAATCGAATATACATCTGGTTAAATTCTATTTTTAAACGAATATTTAATAGACAAACGAATCGAATATACATCTGGTTAAATTCTATTCGTTAATAAACTCAAATACTAAAAAATATTTGTTCGAATATACATCTGGTTAAATTCTATTCGTTAATAAACTCAAATACTAAAAAATATTTGTTTAGTGATAAGTGAACTACCGAATCAAATATGACCGAATAGTTATTCGAAAAATTATCGAACAATTTATTAATTATTTGGTTCATTTCCACCCCTAATCACAAGATAACATGGGAACAAGCACGCTAAGTTAAAATATGGGTTGAAACATGGACTCACACTGGTGACAATTTTTTAAAAAAATCCGATTTAAATTTGTAGTCAATAAGATTTGATCATCAATTACTCTGATACCATATTAAAGTCTCTAAACATTGCACTACAACTTCATACTTCTGTCTGAGTATTGAGGGTTTCTAGCGCTACCAGATGATAACAAAAATTGATACGCACTGTGAGCTTTATGCTGAAACATACATTAGCTGACTTAATCCAGTTGGAAATTTATTCTAACTGACGAACGGAAGACATTATCCAGAACACCCCTAACCTCTTCCAATACGACGTGCAGTCAAAACACATGCTTCTACAGAGAACATTCTCAGACTTCAATATAGATATGACATGTTCCCTTCTCAATAAATCTCAGTAATATTATCGACTCTTCTTTGGTGTGTTCTTCTACGCTTCAGTCAAGTTGGATTTATTACACAGGATAAATTAACACAACAAAATCGAGATTTTTCCAACTTATGTAGCGGTTGAATGGACTCCAGTTCACAAATGCAGATAAGCCACAATCCATGACCACTGATATCATCAGGTCATGCTAGTGACAGCTACATGTATGGCATCTGCAAGATGGGGAACAGTCCTTGAGCTCAATCCTGCCATGCTGATCCTCCTGTGCGGAATCAAAATGATTTACAATAAACTTCTGAAGAAAGTTAAGACCAGAGAGACAAAATTGTAATTAACAAGATCACCATGGATAGAAACCAGTACAAAAGAATAAAAGGGTTAACTGCGTTAGGGATAGACACCCTTATTGTTCTATTGTTGCAGATAAACCCACTAAGACAAAACTTTCAGACTCTTTTAGCCTCAGAAGGACTACTTGTCAAAAAACTTCTCTTTCTCTGAAAGCAAAAGAGTTTAAAAAAAAATTGTTCACAGGGTTGCTGCAACAATAGAACTATGGGGGTCTATCCATAATTGGGCAGTTAGTACAGGGGTCCATCTACAATTGTCCTACAACAAAACCAATTCCCATAAATTAAGAGATCAAAGATTGATAGCGAGGGAAAACAAAACACATACGGAACAAAAAAAAAAGAAAAAAAGGGAAAAAAAGCACACAGCAATAGTCACTCAGTCAGGTTACTAGGCTGCATGATATGCTAAGCAAATAGCTTCAACCAACATATGTTGAGGTCATGGGCTCGTGCTTACCCGTCAGAAGTCATGTAAATATGATATTCTTTTGTCATGAATGCAACTTGTTCACTATTAAGCCCTGTGAAAGTGAACATCCCGATCTGCTTGATTATGTGACTCCAGTCACCTGGCGTTCCTGCATACAGCCAGACATATGTAATATCATTAGATCCATGAACATGACCAAAGAGTAAACAATATTTAACATTGTTACATCTCCACGGAGATACTAGACTGAGCTATTGGGCGATCATCTAGTGTATCCTCAACATCAATGTAAGGGTCACATATAATCAGGAGGCACACTGCATCTAAGAGATACATACCATGGTATGTTTACTTAAGGCAAGTAGAAAACAAGGTTATATTGTAGAATGAATATCAGCGCTAAGCTACAAATAAGCTACTGCATCAGGTATTCTTTCTTTTATCCTTGAGTGCAAAGCTCTTTGTTGTTACTGGCAACACGAGAAACAATGGCTGAAGCAAAGCCACCAGGTTTAATCAATGACAGTGGCAGTTCCACAAGGTATTCTTTCTTTTATCCTTGCATGTAAAGCACTTTGTTGATACCGGCAACCCGAGAAACAATGGTTGAAGCAAAGCCACCAGGTTTAATCAATGACAATCGCAGTTTCACAAGGTACCGACCTTAGTAAATATAGCATGGCCATGAACCTATAAAATACAACAGTATCCTTGAGAAGACAAGGATCCAAAATGGAAAAAACCCTAGTCCGTCTATTGGTACTAAAAGATGGATATTCCTCAAAGAATACTCATTAAAATCATATGTCTCAACAGTTTCACAAACTCAAAATAAAACATTATCTGACAAAGATGATATATTTCCTTATTTTCTCAGTACTTTCAATTTCATGCACCTTTAATTTAATTAATTAAAGTCAAAACTAAATACCAACCAGTGTATCTCTCTTTCAGTAAACAAAGCCGATGGCAATATAGAGAAGAACATTGTTACCATGTGCATTCAGTTCAACATCATCCATGAAGAATATTTTGGAAGACATGGACCAAGGTGGTTGAGTATTTGATCCCATTTTTCTTAAGTAAGAATGGAAAGAAAAGTCACACTTAACAGAGGAGTAAGATTAACTGGTGTAAATTGTTTACCTCTTGTTTGTAAAGCATCAAAAAGCTGTTGGCGCATGCTAATTATCCGATCAGCCATGGCCTTCAACTCCATGGTCCATTCATTGTACATTTCACTAAATCAAGGATACAGTTAAGGACAAAAGTCAGTTGCTCAATCATAAAAGATTTTGCTCCCTCCAGAGACATCCTACAACATCAGTAAAGAAGTGAGTAGTCGTGTACACGTAGATTAAACAACTGTTGCTCCTTCATACAGAACTGATTTCTTAAATGTGTTTGTATCAGTAATAAACTAAAAAAATAAATCAAACGAAGTAAGAAAAAGAATAGCAATCTTTAGTTTTTTAAGTTTACTAAGCAATGGAACTTGCATCTTATAGAGTTCGGTAAGAAAGAATAGCAATCTTTAGTTTTTTAAGTTTACTAAGCAATGGAACTTGCATCTTATAGAGTTCGGTAAGAAAAAAGAAAAGCAAATCTTTTTTAAGTTTACTAAGCAATGGAACTTGCATCTTATAGAGTTCGGTAAGAAAAAAGAAAAGCAAATCCCGAAAGTCAAATATAAAAAGTAAAAATTCATTAAGACTTAATCCATATCTGTGACATCATATCACAAAATAAAGTAGTAGAGGCATGTAACTAAAACTAAATATAAATGAAAATTCCTTTACTCAAACTTAGAAGCCAGTCATTCATGGTAGATCATTAAAGACGATCTGGAATTACACGACCACCAACATCACGATAAAGATATTTACTTAAAACTTTAAAAGAAAGGTTACACTACAAAAGCTTTAAGTCAAATTCATTCATTTAAATTACATCACGATAAAGATATTATAGTACTGGAATCCCACCAGTACTATAATCATGATTGAGACTGCTCATTAAAATAAAAATTGGGAGCCAAATTAAGATTGACAAGTACCATGGAGCTAAAGTGCACAATAAATGTTTAAAATTGAGGAAGCTGATATGGTGCAATTCACTTAAAAATGATGAACCCTAACATAGTGCAAAAACAATATCTAGCCATGGCTAACCATGGCACTTGACATAGAACCTAACATATAATTGGCAAGTACAAATTAACAATGTTGCAAAAGGGCCAAGTTCTCAAGGCATTTCAATTAAGCCGATGCCTAGACCTAGGTTCTTCCTGGGCTCCTAAATTCGCCTAGTGTTCTTTTAGAAACTCAGTACAGATCTGTGTTTTTTATTACAGTGAGAGCAAAACTCCAAATTCTTCTAGATTACAAAGGGTTAAAACAAGTGTACCAGACTTTCAGCTCAAGTGTATTAATTAAGCTCATGAATCTGGGGGCAAAACCTCCAAAATATTTTTAGATAAAACAGCTCAGATAAGGGAGAGTTTGACATAATGTAAGGAATGGTATGAACCAAAAAGCCAAATTGGAACATTACCAATAGTCAACGCAATCAATAGTAAGATGACATGCAAATGAATCATAGCAAACTTACTTTACTACATTTGCATAGATCAACTTTAGAAGACAGATTTTAACTAAATTCTAATCTTAATCAAAGAGAAACTGATGCTTATAAGTATAATGATCTGCGTAGAGCTAAGACCTGTTCTTAAGAATTGTTGCCACAATGGATGCGCCATGAATCGGAGGATTAGAGTACATGGGCCTAATTACAAGCTTGAGCTGACTTTCAACCCTACCTGCCACATCAGCACTTTTACAAACCTACAGGGGAGCTATGCCAATTCAGTAAGATGAATAAAGAACACAAACTAAAGCCAAAAGACAAGGAAAGTTGGTGAAAAATTGAAAATGAATAAAACTGCAAACTAAAGCCTAGTCAACAAAGCATTATATGATCCCCATAAATAATGATTCACATGTCTATATCACTTGCAACAATGAATAAGATATTCAGTTATCACCAACTACTTTATAGAATTGAAGCACGTTGCAATCTCAGTAAACAGTACAGTAAAAAGAAAATAACTATATACTGTAAAAAAGTATGTTAAATAATTGAAATTACTTCAGGACTCGCTTCAAGCATGATGTTAGCTTGAGCAATCGATCACTTCTAAGCCATTAGACATATCAGGGAGCGTATAATAGTGGTTAAGAGTTAGAAAGATCTTAATACGCTCCCACTTTATGTTACCAACATGGCATCAATATGCAAACAAGCATGCATATTGATCAATTCAGAATCCAAGTAAGTTACTATGTGATTGATGAATTGTAATCGTGTTCACTTAATCACAATTGTTTACAAATGCAAGCATTCACTATGTGTTTGGGAGATGACTAAAGGAAGGGAAAAAAATTTCCCTTCCTTCCCTTCCCCTTCTTTACCCCCCCCCCCCCCCCTTTCCCCCACCCCCAATTTAGGGGGTAAGATTTTAGTTTAATTTCCCCCCTCATTCGTCTCCTCTATCTTTCTAATTGGAACTCCCAAACAAAAGTAAATCCAAAATTTTCTTCCCCTTCTCTTCTCTATCCTCCATCCAAACAGGTCATAAAGGATTTGAGGATATTTTAACATTTTGGATCATAACTTGTGCAGTGGATAGGATTCACTAAATAGTTTAACATCTTTTCGTTCGAGGGACTAAAATTCCTAAAACATAATTTCCCTCTTTCCCCCCCTCCACCCCAATTTGGGGAGTAAGATTTTAGTCCAAATTTCCCCCTCATTCCCCTCCTCTACCCTTCTAAATGGAACTCCCAAACAAAGGTAAACCAAAATTTCCCTTCCCCTTCCCTTCTCTACCCTCCATCCAAACAGGCTATAAGGGTTAATCTCCTTTAAGGGGCGTCTTGTTTGTTGGAAACTAATCAAAAAAGGAAGAAAACAGTTACTTGTGTACCTGTTCTGAAAAGATGAAGATAACAACAAAGTTCCTACCCTTCATCTCCAGTCTCTTAGTATGTGCTAATACAACCATGTTTCTCATAAGATACAGCAAAATTTGCATGTTTAGTTTGCCAAAGTTGTGTGAGAGAGAGGTACTTTCCTAATTGCCCAAGAAAGTAGCTGAAAGATGCTTCTCTGCTGTTCATGCAGACAACTTGTTTAAGCATGCTCGAAATGGGAAAGACCTGCTTACTAAAAATCCAAATATTGACAAGCGACCCAGAAATACAAATAACAACTATGACAACTAGTAACTGTGAGCCTTAAGGTCTATAACATGAGTTACTTTGTATTTCTGCATTTGTTCAGTGACACATGCATGGATCAAGTAGAACACAGAAGCTGACAGTAGTATCCTACACTACTCAAGTCTATAGCCCCAAAACTATGACAACTAGAAGTAACCTGTAAAGTGAGCTCTGCTATAAGATTGTCATGATATTATAAGAAATAGCTCACATGAGAGCAGATACGAAATATGAGTACCTAGAGTAGTCAAAGGTCTAAAGAAAAATAGGAAATAAGAAAAAGATCACTTTGATATTTATCAAGCAGCAGTACATAAACCTGTCAAACAAAATGTACTGAGAAAAAATGGTGCTTTAAATGTGAAATGGTTATATTGATGCATTTTTTGTAGGAAAAATACAAGCAGAACTAGGTCAAGGACCAAGAATAGGCATACACAGGGAAATTAATGACTATCAGAAAATATTATAAATTTTAAGTTGGACAAAGATTCATACAATGCTCAGTGCCCCAACACGTTCTCCATACAGACCCATATTCTTTGCATAGCTTTGAGCTGCAAAGCATTCTCCACCATCAGCAACAAACATGCGAACAGATTGTGCATCTGCATCCAAACTTCCACTAGCAAAGCCCTGCAAAAGATTATCTCTTTAAAATTAATCTCTCCTGTACTCGGCTAAGATCAAACTTAAACAATGGAAAACATTAAAAAAGAGTTTGCTTGTTAAGCAATTTATCAGGCAGGACATCAGTTATCATAAGATGGTTACCTCGTGCTGCATTCTTTAATTGTTGGACCTAGTCTTCAAGTGACTATGATTGTGAAAACAGATTGCCCTTGGTAGGAACTAACCCAACACGGACATCCCAGTTTTAAAAAATATATTAGGAAATATTGTCTCCACTTTATGCGGCACTATGCACCTTAAATACTTGAGTTACCTACCTTCGTTAGCAGTTAAGCACCAAATATAATTAATCTGACATCTTTTTTCCTCTAACTTCATGATTACCTGATAAGCACTGTCAAAGAAAGGCAGCAGCCCTTTCGACCTCATCAACCGCCTTATCTGCTCCCACTGATCAACAGTTGGATCTACTCCAGTAGGGTTGTGTGCACATGCATGAAGAAGGACAATTGCTCCTGGAGTTGCAGCAGTGAGATCCTCTAACAAGCCTGTTGTAATAGATATGTTAGCTTGTTGTAAGTACCACAGAAAAGAATATTTTTGTATTGACAAATAATATGAAGAATCAACAATGCAAAAAGAGAAGCATCTGAGTGTTAATATATGATATGAATGGCATTCCATACATCAGGCAAATGAGAAGTATAAAACTTTTTTACACATTGCTCTAACAAGTAGCAACCAATTATAGTCTAGCAGCATTGGCAGTCGAGAGGAAATCAGATGCTGGAACCTCTAAGAAACCATCAACCCAAATAACACAAAGCCTTATACATATAAACGCTAACATATCCTGAGTACATGAAGAATTGCTTCTTATTATCACATATTTTTCCCTTCAACATCAGATTGGAAGTTTGGAAATTTGAACCACACACAGTTGTTAACCTGAAGTGAATGCTTTAAACTGCTGCTGCTGATAGCCTGATCCTTATCAAAAGGAAGAAAGACGAGAAAGAGAAGAAAGACAAATTATGTTATTTGTGATTCTAGCAAAACTCTTCACAACCATTAAGAACAATACAAAATTCAATTAAGTTATGCTAAGCCTAGTAGCACAGGAAGTCAAATTATTTGCTATAGCCTATATGAAAATACATTTAACTTTAAGGCACAAATGAAGCCAAGGAATCCAACAGAAATACTTTCCTATGCAAGCAATACTGATTTTTAAAAGTCAAGTTCCTTTCCAGTTCTGATCAGAAAAAAGATGGTTCCAGATCTAAGTCAGAATTAGAAATCATTGACATGAATTAACAAAAAACTCTAATTAAATGACAATTGGACTTCCAATTGGTACAAAACAATATTGCATGCATACGATATTGTTCAAAACAAACACCTTGAAAGTTTAGCCCACGGGTTGATGGATCATAATAGCGATAAGTCTTGACAGAAAGCCCTGCCAATGTAAATATTTTTGGATGATTTCCCCATGTTGGTTGTGGAATATAAATAGTGCGCTGCACAATATTAGTTTCAGGTCAGAATCTTAACCAAATTACTGCTATCTGCAAACAAAACTTAGCAGATAAAAGACTTTACTTCATGATAGTGCCGCGCCAAAAACTCCCCTCCAACCCTCAACGAGCCAGTACCCGACAAACATTGCACAGTGGTCACCCTACTTTCTTGGATTGCAGGACTGTTCCAAATGAATGGTTTTTGTTAAACACAGTTAAATATGACTAAAATGGTAGAAAATGAATGGAGCAATAGAACATTAAAACATAAAAGTGCCCATCTTTTACCAGCCTCAGTACCGAGTACTTCCTTTTATTGTCAGAACCAAGTACTTTATAACTCTTAGGTCTGCCTGAAATACTCACCTATTGTACCAATATTCTGTACCTGTGTGTCCCCTTCAACTATTTATTTCAAGTAATCCAACTAGATGAATATATCCTACTACCGTTGAATTAGGGTCAGACTAATTTATGTGAAATAGAATCAGTACCATGGATTGCTATGCCTTGATTATTTATTTCGACTAGGAAATGTACATATAAATACACATCAGCACTTCACACGGAATATGTATCTTTACCATCCCTTTTTGAGTTTCTACAAGATCTTGAATCTCTTGAATTTTATTCCCCCTACCTAATACTCATGCATAATCATATCGAGAAAAATTAAATATAAAAGATACCTTCATTGAAGTCTTTACAATTCGAAGTCGTCAAGTAAAATTACAACCAGATGTCTAAGCATGAGGGATCAACTAGTGGGGCATATAGTTAGCAAATCCAGGAGCAACTACTTCAGCTATGGTAAGATGGGCCTTTCTGTGTTAACTTGCCATGATTCAAATCCCACCCATTATCCTTCAAATGCCCACAACTTGTTTGGAACTTTTTGACGTAATCAAATAACAAGGAGTAACACCAGAACAAAATATGCAAATGTCATCACATTTTAGATAGAAAAGCCACCTGTCAGCTCCAAATATTAGCTTAGCGCTCAGTTTGTTGAAATCTGCTAATCCGGTGATTGGCAAGTATTCTTTTACACGTGACCTGAAAGTATCACAATATTAAAGGGATCAATGAACTTCAATATAAAAGATAGCACAGTTCTATCTATGTAAAATAGAACATATACAGCATCAATATAAGTAACTAGCAGCAATCTGAGAACTAGAAAACCATCATCTAATTTTATTTATATCAAGAGCAAAGTTTTTTTTGCTATTTAGAAGATATTTACGAGAAGTCCCTCATAAAGAGTCAAGTCCTAACATTTTGCACAAAACAGTGAAATATCAACAACATAGATAATAGGGTCTCTCATTATCTTCGATTAAATCCTCTCCCGGTTGTAGGCACTAAAAAACGCCAAGAAACGAAGGAGCGTTGAAGCTCACAGCAAAGCATGACGAGGGTCATTACAATGATGGACCTCATCTCAAACAACAAAGCTTGTCGTTGAAAACGAGGTCCGAAGCTCGTCAGTGAAGACAAAATTCGTCAAAGGAAGTCCACAAGGTTCGTCACGCTATTGGACTCAACCATCAAGGACGAAGCTCATCATATAGTGAAGCTCGCTCTGTTAGACGAACCTCGCTACGTATCGAGGCTCATCTCATCAGACGAACCTCGTCACGCAACGAAGCTCATCATATCAAATAAAAGTTCAACTGTAACGGTCTTGAAGACCCAACCAGCCCACGTAAGCTAAATTTTAGGAGTCAGTTACGCTTTTGACTTCATTAGATGAACCTCGCCAAGCCATGAGGTTCATCTTACCAATTGAAGCTCTGAGCCAGGAGGCTAATGGCCACGAGGAGCAAGTCAGCCCACATGGGCTAAATCGTAGGAGACAGTTACGCCCCTCTACCTATGATTTTAGCATGTCAGTTACGTGCTAAAGACCTATAAATAGCCGCAAGCAGCTATGAAAGAGGCAATCTGGGGAGAGTATACGCAGACGCACATACAAAGCAAGAAAGGCCCTGTTTCTTTGGAGATTCGAACCTTGATTTTGGTGATTTAAGCCATCGACAGAGGCTAATTCTTCTCTCGCATAAAAGCGATCTTGTTCTGATCGTCAACGAGAAGTAAGCTCGACTCAAGTATCGAGTGAGACATCCTCTCGTCACCCAGAACCCACGTTAAAAAGAGAAGTTGAACCAATCTTCCCTTCCTCTGTACTCGAAAAAGAGTGATTGTAAAGAGATTCTTACAAAACGATAGAATCTTGTTTTCGAAGCTAATACAGTTAAGGAAACCAATTGTTTCGTATATCTTTTTCGAGATCCTACACCAGTATTTCCACTATGATAGAAACTTCTGAGTTAAAAAATGATGTGTTTTTCCAGTACTAATTCCCTATCACTAACTTTGATAATCAAATCGATGTTCTTAGTCCACCAAACAAAGTATCAGTTAAATAATTTCTGCTAGTTAAACAGTAGAGAGATGGAAGGAAATAGAAAATAACGAATCAAATATCCATACTGATCGTTAACAAGAAGCTGCTCCGCTTTTCTCACAACGTTCAAAACAAGCGGCTTTCCTTCCTATTACAAAGAATCAATAAGTCAATCATTAAGAAAATCAAATCAAAATCATCGCTAAATCAAAAGAAAAAAAGAACCTCACCTCAGTTCGATAAGCTCCAACCCCCAAATTAACCTTCAATGGGCTCTGATCCTTGTTAAACGCAACCGTCACCTATCAAAACGATCCAGACTCAAGATCACCAAATCAAAAAAGAAAACCCTAGAAATCCACAAAGATGATCGATCGATCGATTACCCCAAGGATCGGATCCTCAGGAGCCTGAGCGATGTTCGAGAAGACGGAAAGAGACTCGTTAGGGTTTTGAGACGCCATTGAAGAGTGAGGAGATGAACCCCTCAAATGGCCAGCGAGGGTACTTAAGCCTCCGATCGGAAATTGGGAGTTGTCAGCGCACGTTAGCAGCTACTATTTTTTAGCGATACTATACGATGTTCGCGCTGCTTTCGAAAAGGAAAGTACATTCGCCCACGGTTTTTTGGCAAAGGTTGTGCGCGACTGGTGACGTGGCAGATATCTTGCGGGTCCCGGCTATCGTTTTCAGTTGCCGGTAGTGAGTTTCCGTAGATTTGTTAGAGGGACAAATTTTCAAAAGCGACCCATTTGTGTTTTTAATTGCAAAAAACGACTTATTTTAATTTTAATTATAAAAACCGACCCAGTTGGTTGAAACTGGGTTGGTTTTTTAAATTTTTTTTCCCAAACTTCACAGGAGTTCAACTCCCGTGAAGTTTCCTGAAAAAATTTAAAAAAACCGACCTGTTTTCAGCCCCTGGCTGAAAACAGATATATAGTATACTAATAGTATTGTTGAATCGTACGTAGGTAATAGTAGACTATGAGGTAGGGTATTAGCTAGTATATACTTCAGTGACTACGCTATATATATATAGAGAGAGAGAGAGAGAACTTATGTCAACTTAAGTGGGAATGAGTCCACCAAAGTTATAATTGGGTGACCTGATTTCGCATAACTTGCCATGATCGCAGGGCCAACATCAAGGATAAAAAACTTGGTTGGTGGACTCATTCCACCATGCAGCTGGCTCACCTATCGGCCGACAACCTGCGTAGCCGGATAAAAAGTTGGCACTTGTCGGCTCCCAACGAACCATACATCTCTGCGGAACGGTAACCCACACTCCGATCTTATTGCTTCTATATCAGCTCAAACTCAACTTGCGCTACCAACTAAAGCAAGGAGTTATTGTCTCCTTCCAGGCCGAGACGACTGATAGAGGCGTAGTCTTCTAGAACGGTTCGACCCCCCAAAAAAAGCGCTCGCCCCTGTATTAAACTGCTTTGTACAAAGTCTATCATTGTATCTAGTTGTTCCACACATCTTTTTACGGACACTTATTAGTTCCGTCACCCCTGACAGCATGCTGTGCGCTTGGGCAGCTAACCATCGCCGGGATGACACATCTTCGCCCGCGGCTGTAGGCGTCAAAAAATGCTGAAAGATATCCAAATACAGCTCAAGAGGAAATCATCCAAAAAGGCAGAAGAACACAAGTCTTTACTGTCTCGCACGCGAGACAGACTTGACTGTCTCGCCGTGCGAGACAGTCTTGACTGTCTCGCCGTGCGAGACAGT